AAAATCTTTTTGTTATACAAAGGTAGGGAACATTCCCCCAAGGTTTCAGCTTTCTAGCTTTTCGAGTTCCCGAGTTAGCAGTTTTCGCGCCAGAAGTTTCACGTGCTCGTACGCGGAGCACAGACGTGCGTGAGGGTTGAAACTGCGGTCCTGGGGCGATATCTGGCTGGGGAACACACTGGCAAAATTTCAGTTTGAAAGCTTGCGTGGTTGGCGAGTTGAAACACCCGGACAGACGAACACACACACACAAACATACACACACAGACACAGACACAGACACACACGCACACACACACTGACAGGGTCGTTGCAATACGCGTTTTTGCTGCCTGTTGCAGGGCTCTAGCGCTGCACGGCAAAAACGCATAAAGAAAACAGATCAGTAGCAGGTTCTATACTTTTTTACGAGTTGTAAGAGCTGTAAAAAAGTAATGGAACCTGCTACTGTTCTGTCTTTTTTTTGGATTTTGGCAGCTCCGCAGGTGTTGGACTATTTCAAGGACAATTTGGGTCGAGAGACAATCGAACTGATCGACAGTGCTGCAGATACATGAGAAAACCAGCAAAAACAGCAAACGTATACAAAATCTAGGCAACCGTAAAGGTTTTTTTAAAATATTTCCGAGATTAGGATACTGAGTAACAGAAAAATAATCACAGCACGACGTTTTCTAAACTGTTTTTGAAAAGATGCTAGTGAACTGGAAGAAATGAAGTTACTTTGAAATTGGCTTCTGTGTCAATTCCATCGACATCAACGATCTCCACATTATATCTATCGTCTTCCAGTGCTTGATCGTTACCATTCTCTCCCGCCTTCCCCCATATATTAATAACTGGTTAACCTAAAAGACAAATGTTGTTAGGCCGCTAATGTCAAGGATCTTAGCAATGAATTGTCAAATGCAAACATCCAAAATTTTACTTTTTTTTATTGACTTTATTTGATGCTCCCCAAAATCCTTTTACCAGCACATGTAAAAACATTTTACATAACCTGAAAAAACAGACAATGTTTATATCAAAGGTAATGTGGCGTAAATGCTCATTATGCATTTTTGCTGTGCAGCTACAGCGAGCAAAAACACATATTAAAACGACCCTTGGTGTGTGTATGTGTGTGTGTGTGCGTCTGTGTGCGTGTGTGTCTGTGTGTATGTGTGTTCGTCTGCTCGGATATTTCAACTCAGTGACCAGCAATCTCCGAAGTAAAAATTTTGCCAGCGGGTTCTCTGGCCAAGTGCCGTTCCAAGGCCGGGGTGCTGACCTTCAGCACGTCTGGGCCCCGCATACAACCACGTGAAAGTCTTGGCGGGGAAATGGCTAACTGGGGAACCAGAAAAGCTGGGAGGCTGAAATTTTAAAAGGATATTCCCAGCTCATCTACAACATAAAATACTTAGATTCCGCCCTCAATTGTGACTGATTCCCACGTATGGGCCTATGAGAATTTGGCGAGGAAATTCGTTAACTCGAGAACCAGGAAAGCTTGGAAGCTGAAATTTTAGCAGAACGTCCCCTTTTCAAGTGCACGTGATAACAGTACGATTAACTTTTTGTAGTTCGAGGACCTGTATGTTATAAATTCTAGCTATTGTGACTCCAAGCGTTCTTACAACAGCACGAAATACTGCAAAAACGCATGATTGCGCGGGCCTACCCGGTGCGCGTCGCCAATGATTTTTAATTGACATGACGCTTATTACGTAATCCTGCACAAACACTATGGAGATCTTATATTGTTAATGTTACTGAGATTTTTTTAATACAAGTCGGATGTAGCTACTTCATGCTCTTCCATCCTGCGCTGCGCAGATTCAATTAGTATTCTCTACCTATGTGCAGTTACCTTTTCCGAGGTTACAACCGGATAGCCGTTTACTTCCTCGCAAGAACTTCTAGCTAATGCTCACCGCTTTTCACAACACATACAATTCTATGCAATAATTTCTTTTTATACAAAAATCTTCAAGTTCTCATTAAAGACGTCCACTGCTGACAAATATCGAGTAGCCGGGGGTCGATATGAGCATACGATATTCATTATCCGCCCTCCCCCTCCTCTCCCCTCTCCCCCGCCCCCGTCACCTAACCTGTGCTCTGCCATGTTCCTCAACATTCTTCTTCCTACTTCAAAATACCTTTCTATTACTTTTACTAATTTCACAACATTATTTTCTCTTTTATTCTTTTTCCTACTTCAAAATACCTTTCTATTCCTATTCGTCTTTGCTTTCCGTTTCCTTCTAAACTCTTTCCCGTCTGTCTTTTCAACATAGGCGAATCCAGGGCGGACTCCTAGGGAGAAGAGGAAGGGAGAGGGAGGGGGGGAGGGGAGGGGGAGAGAGGGAGGGAAGAGGGAGAGAGTGGAGTTACGGGGAGGGAAGGGAGAGCAGGGACCCTGGGGGAGGGGCGACTGGAGTTGGGAGAGAGTCTCTTCTCACCCTGGAACTACGCTAAAACTAGGACTAGAATCGTAACACTGCTACTTAAAGAGTTACTTTAGTTTTATTTATGAACGGCCCCGGGCTTTTGCAGCACTGGTACCTGTGCTGCTGGGGGCACCCTTTGCCCCTTCGTTTCCTTCCTCCTCCACCCTCCCCCCGCTTCCGCCGTCCCCTCTCCCTCCCCCCTTCCCCGCCATCCAACCTCCCCCTTCCCTGCAGACCCGCCTATGCTTTCCAGCACATCATTTAGCGGCTGTTGATGTTACGGAAGATCGCGAACTCGAAAAAGACCGCACAAACATACCAAGGAATCCCGAAATCCCGAACCCCCCAAAATAAAAACAATCGCCTACAAATTGTCAAGAGCTGTACAACGATGCGTCAAAATTTCAGTAATTGTTATGTCACGTGACTCGTCCACGTGGAATTACTAAAACTCGGCTCGGCCTGGCTCGACCCAGCTGCTGTTAAGCGCGACTCACGAAAATCTTTTCCGGCAATGTCGAGTATAGCTGCTCCATGGTGAGTGGCGCGGGGTTCGGATACGGCAAGTTGGAGGGGCGATGATTTTGTTGCGGGTTTTAGTAGGAGAGGGGCAGAGATGGGATAGATGGATTTAATGGCTATATAGCAGAACTCAACAGCCGAGCCGAGCCTTAATGGCTTTAGTAGAGGGACGAGAGTTTCCCTCACTGGCTACCGAGTCGAGCCGAGCCGAATTTTCGTAATTACGGTTTTGCGGTATTTTTATGATTATCTTGTGCGTAAGCGGGTCCAATGCGGTTTTCTGGGGAGGGGGAGGAGGCGGTTTTTCATCTCACTTCCTTCCTTCGTCACTACAACTCTCCTTCCTGCTCGGGCAGCTCCCAACCCATCCTTCACTCGCCGCATTGCCCCCCCCCCCTC